AAACAGTATACATCAATGAAGTCTTTCTCTCAGCATGAGCAAAATTGAGAAGATTGGTGAATGACTTCAACTTCCTGACGAGAAAGTACAAACGGGAGAAAGATGGACTATGGATCCGACCAGGTAACTACACCCAACAGATGCTGAAGGCATATGAAGAGCAGATTGGAAAGATCAAGCTCCAACAACTACCATCAGACAACTCAATTCAGTTATTGGCACACCGAAGGGCAAAAAAGAGTTGGTGAGCTTGAGGGAAAGGCGTGTGAAGAGAAAAAGAACTTTGCAGACAAGGTCAAAATTGCCAAGATGATTGTCGGAATTGTGACTTTTGAGAGCTTGCAGCCAATGGTTACAGAAGCAAGTACATTCGAGAGAGATTGACCAGTGCAAGTTGGAAGTAGAAGACGCCAATAGAAATTGGAAAATCACGATGAGATGATCATTACCATCGGTTTTGCAGCAATGACCTTATCAAAGTGGGCGCTATGGAAGCATGTGAAAGAAAGATTAGAAACGCAGAGAGATTTCTCTTGTGGAAAGGTGAATGGTTGCGAAATCAGGATGACGGAGCTCGAGTATCTTTTCGACAGAAAAGAAGACTACGACAACCAAGTAGACCTGTTGGGAAGCTACACCAGGAGACTTCATTGTGGATTGATCTCAGTGGGAGTAGGGTTTGTAGAAGAGCTAGAACCAGATACTATGCACAGAGTCAATTATGATATGACCTCAGAAACAAATGCAGCATTCTACCTAGCAAGAAGGAGCTTAGAAGGTTTGAGATCCACAAGAGGGCAATATATCGTGGACACGCTATCATGTTAGAGGCAGCGGCCCACGGAGCAGTGCCTTCAGATGGACCAGGATCAAAATCATTCAAATCAGGAAATGCAGAGTATGTGGAAAGCATTGAATATGAGGAGGAACAGAGGAATGTACTACGTGGCCGACTTGAAGCAAAGATCGAAAGCTTGAATGCAAGACATTGGGTGCTAGAAGGAAAAGGGCAGTTTGAACTAGCAGATAGAGTTGACTATGAGAGAAATCGATACAGGATGCTGCTAGATGAGATCGATTCAGAAGGAGAAGCCTCAAGGAACCCCGTAGGTGTATGACAGCGGCAGAGTGAGCTCAAAAGGAGCTAGCTGACGCTCACACTACCGAGAAGGAGTGTGAAGAATTTGTAGTACAGCTCATAGGTGTGATGGTATCACCATGTGCCCGATTGGCGTTTTGGGTTGGCCTTTTGGAGCTTATGTAGAAGTGTTTTTTTCTACTTTTCATTTTTACTAAAAAACAATAATAACCTTTAAGCAATACAAAAAGTGCTCCAGAATACTTAATAAACAAAAATTGTCAAAGCAAAATCAACTGTCAACAAGAATGTGGAACAACGAGGATTCAACGTTTGATAGGCGTTAGAAGCTGTCTTGTCCTCACAAGGCGTACTGAAAACTGATTATATTTTCAGTCACTGCGTGTGGTTTGTTTTTTCACACTGCTTTCGACCCCCTTTAGCTTTCATTTGCCCACCCTGTTATTCACAACCTATCCAGAAGTTTTATACTTTTTTGGAACATGTCACAGGCAGTCAGGTCAAAACACTCACCGTGCCAAAATTTTACACCGGACAGAAATCGAAGTGGCTGCAGTCTTGTGGGCAAACCTGGCTAACCTCTTCAGCACCACAGGACGCCCAGCATTCCAGGAGAAAGAAACATACGGATCATAACCTCAAGGAAGTAAGCAGTAAGCGTATACAGGTTGTATATCATCATCAGCATGCCAGTTGTCCTTGGTTGAATCCTGTCACAAAGGGAATGAAAAACGGATCATAACCTTTCAAAAACAACCAGATATACTATTACATTTTTTCATTTTGAAAACACTAAAAAACAACCCTATTTTTTAAGACTAATGAAGCACTTTTTGTCATATTTTTGAACCGCTAGTATTTTTTGTGTTATTTTTTCAAAATGAAACGTATTAAAAAACACTTCTACCTAAGCTCCAAAAGACCAACCCAAAAGGCAATTCGCGCATGCCGTGATGGTATAGCACTGCTATCACTTTCTCACCATACCGCAGCCCTTTGAGTATCAAGAAAAAGTTCGCATATATATATATATAACTATATATATACATAATTATAGGGGTTATAGGTGCTTTACGTGGTGGCTTTGTCTTGGGACGCCCACATCAGAGCTGCTGTACATTGGTCAACACTGTGTCGGCCTGTAAATGTTTTATGTATACACAATTCCTTTTGCATGGGAATTGTATTGCTGGAAGGAAAACATTTCATTGCAGCAACCAAATGCCCATAAAAACACTGCGAATGCTAGATGGACCAATGTCCCTACTTGCTCGCGGCTTCACCTTGTGTTCTCATGCTCGCGATATTTCCCTGATTGAAGAAACCACCATGGATGTTACTGTTTTGAACCATCGGACAGCCCAGGCAAGCCTTGCTTCCTTCAATCTATTCTCCCTGGTTGAATCTTTGCTTCTTCGGTGTCAAGCTCAAGGCATTCTTTGGACCGATAGAATGCACGACCCACCAACATGGCTTCTTTTGATTTCATCACTCATGTCCTAGAAGTAAGTTGTCAGGCAATTCCGTACTCTTTTGTTTCAGCAAGGCAACTCTTGCATGGCGAGCAAAGTCTGGAGCTGAGCAAACCACCATACACACACAACATGTATGCTGCATATTATACGCAGTGCATAGTATTTGCACATAGATGCATGTTAGGTTTTTTTTTCTCCATCAGGTTCTGCCCTTTGGACTATTGCTGCAGCTGTTGCACTGGCCCTTTTGGTGAGCTTTGCCACAGCCCTAACACATCAGCATGGACAAAGCATACTCAAATTCTTAGCAGCACTGCAGGTCGTGATATGGTGCTCTGTCCGGCAGGAGAGAGCAGAAGAAACATCGATTGGTTGACATGAGGCTTTGTTGATTTTCTTAATCTTAATAAGGTCTTTATATGGCAGTTGGCTCAACCTGTCAGGAAGCTGGGGAGAACACGGTTGGCACTGAGGCCTTTCTGATTCCTGGCAAGGGATGGCAAGCAAGAAACATCGCGGAGAAACATTATTGAAGCACACCAGACCAAAAACAAAGTACTTTGACACAGTTGAACAGGTTATAGCTTGCCAGAAGACAATAATTAGCTATTACTAGTAGTGTTGAACCGTGTAAACACTTGGAAACGATCCTAAGCTTTTCGCACTCACACAATCAATCTAGAATCTAGAGCATCCGTATCCTTACACGTCCTGGCATCCTCTCAGAACACAAGATGTCGGGGTTGCAGGACTAATAGGACTAATTATCTGAGGCACATTTACTTTTGGACCTCGCCTGTCTTCAAAGCGAACAGCAGTCGCAGCGAAAGACTTGCCTTTAGCAGCGAACAAGAAAACCTATTCTGGACGAGCAATGGATCCTGGATAAACCTTGTGAGAAGCCTTCTGACGAGGTTCTAGACCAACAGCTCGCACAAACATCACAATGTTGTGTCTGGCAGCGAGACTGCCAGAACCAGACAGAGGGTGAATGCACTGAACAACTTTGACAAAGCCAGAGTGGGAAAGGCCAGCATTATCTTTGCTCAGACTCGCGCAAGTGTTGTCGCCTGCCTTGCCAAGATCTCGTAAGTGGTCCTCATGTAAGTTCTTGCTTTATATAGATATATTATGATATATTATGATAAGTAGATAAGCTGGAGATAGCTAGAGTATGCAAGAGCTTCAGAAATGTTTGTCACCTGCAGCATGCGCCCATCACGAATTCAGACATCGTGCCATTGCGCTCGGCCTGATGCTTTGTGTTTCTGGTCCACTCCTGACAGCTCGCCTTGTAGCTGCCCTTTGCATTTACTCTATTCTTCGGACATTGTTCTCAGAGCCGGTTATTGCTATCGTTTCTTCAGCATGTTCTTTCTGGTGAGTAATGAATGGACCAACATCCTAGACCAGAACAAACACTTGCAAGTGCTTCACAGAGGAGCAAACAGAGCAGACACATTTAGACGCAACCACTTGGACGGGCCTTTGAAAAGGCCTTCTTCCGAGTACCATGTCTTCCTTTGCTTCCATGCTGTGCGTTGTGCTGAGACTACCTTTATGGAGTATTGGAGTGTTGCCAAATGCAGAGCAAGACCAGCTGAGGCAATGCTCTTCAACAATGTAATGATCTCATCCATGAAGGACTCAACTCAGAGTGTCCACTATCATGTTTGTGGCATGCCCTGACAGGGCTTGGACTTCTTGCTTCTTGCTTCGTATTTGGCAATTGTGGTCTCAATCTTGGGATGTTGCTTCATGTTACTTTCTGAACTGCCGTAAGTTGCTTCCTTGGTGAGGTTTGCCCCTACCTACTCTTTGCGTGGAGGTACAGTCAACACAGGTGAGAGGATGCAGAGTATTTGTGTGAAGCCAGGTATTGACGGCTATACCCAAGCCGTGTCACCGTGTTTTTTTTCAATGATTTTAAGCTTTGGTCAGACTTCTCGATGCCTAGCTTTGCACGCAGGATGTCCATTCGGCCAAGCTCCTATTGCAAGAAAGTCGTTTCAACATACTTACTGGATACTCAAAGCATTTTCAAAATTTTCATATTGGTTGAAAGCACCTTGAGGTGTGAAGAGATTTCCTTCTCTTCAAGCCGCGCAAATGCAACCTGAAGCGAGAGCAAACAGCCAGTCAGCGTTTGACTGCGAGAATGTAAAATAAGAGAATGACAGCAAATGAACAATCAAAAGGGTATATAGCAAGAATTGCCTTTGCATAATTTAGCCTTTGGCTCTATCTGGCTCTGAGAGCAACATGTGATCACCGACATAAACACTCTACTGCAACTTACCAAAATCATGTGCAAAGTAGACTCAGACAGCAACACGACAAGATGTGTATAGATGAGTGCAAGTATATAAAAAGATCAGCTAAGACTATATATAGATGATCAGATGCAGACATGTTTACTTATACATATGGCACCCATCAGCATTAGAATGAGAATGGGGCGTGCCTGTGGCAGGCATCCGTTTCATGTTGTGTTTCCGATTTCTTGAGGGATCTTGAGCAACTACAGTTTTTGTTTAGGACTCCTTTAGTTTAGACCTTCATTTGTTCTGTTGCCACGGTGAACATCAGTTTTTAAATGCACGTTTAACTATAGACTATACACCTTTTGTGGTCTCATACTGAAGAGGCTTCAATATCCCCTTGGAAAGCAGGTGCACATGAACAGCAGGGAACTATGGAGACCTACCAGTCAAGGCAGTGAACCTTTTTTGTACAAAGCGGGTGCCCTGTTCTGCGTTTGAAAAGCTCCGCAGCTTATTCTATCGCCATGATGGCATGACAGCGGGTGCCCTGTAGGTGATGTTCAAAAAGGCTGCAGCTGTTGCTTTCAAGGGTGAGACCAGGTGCACAAACATGTCGAATTGTCCATCGGAAGCGGTCAAGAAAACTACGTGCAGTGTATGCCACTGAGAAAGTAAGTGCACCAGGATACGTGGCAAAGAGAGCAAGCGGTTGCACCAGGCTCATCCACTTGGCTGTATGTCAGGAGGACAGCAGGGAAGAAATGACAAGTTTCCGTGACTTTCGGACGAGGCCGTAGCAAGTACTGCTGGCGATGAGATCGCTGCAGTCGCATCTTTATAAGAGACATGAACTTCAACATTCATTTTTGTGAAACACTGTGAGATATGATGAGACATGCAAAGGTTTTTACAACTTTTGCAATTTCTTCTCCAAGGCCCTTTTCCCAAACAAAGCTGAAGTGGTCATTCGAAAGGATAGAGACTTGGATGGGTTCTCTCATGTTGGTTGGGACGCTACACAAGCTGCAAGCCAAGCTTAGGCAGGTGGAAGTACATTCCAATTCATTTTTGTGAACGGGGAGTGTTTCTATGCCCAGCTCTCATCTGTTTGGTGCTTCAACAACCACCTTGTTGTCTCTTGTCACTTGTTGTTCATTTGAGGTTCAGCTGGATGGAAAGGCGGAACTAGGTACGGTATTTCCCCCAGAGTTAAAGAACAAATTGTTTAAGCTCCTTTAATAAGGCCCCTTTAAAGGGTGGCTTATTGAAGGGGTGCGCACAAATTCAATTGTTTGGGTCTTCTCCTTTTTGTTCAATCTTACTGGGCTTTTCTCTTTCCCACACTACTTAGGGGGAGCTGTTGCCAACCCTCCAAGCCTTGTGGCGCGTCTGAGCCCAAAAACATCCCTCTGAAATTGTCGAAGTGGGCAGTTTTCAGTTTTAGAAGAGTGAGGTCGAAGCAGATGCTTTGCTTCCCAGTGTAGTGATTCAGAGGCAGAGCTTTGAGGCTTCAAGCACATACGACATACGCCTGCGACAGTAACACTCTCCCAGCATCAGGCCAGTGGCAAAGTTTATCTTTGGAGGGGCCAATGTGATGGTTGGACACTTTGTCCGAAAGAGTGCAAGCTTATGGAGCCTAGTGGGGGTTCAAGACGTTTTCAATCACTCCCTTGAGGCTCCTGGTGTGCATTCTATTGTGCCAACAAAGAGTTGCCTGTGCCCAAGAGAATCGCTTTGCCATGGTTTGCCGATATCAGATCAGATCCATACGTCTAGATGTCAGTAATGATAGCATATTGAGGAGACAATCGCATGCAAAATGCTACTGATCCAAAAATGCTCGACACAGATTTTGGTGCAGCCTCCAAAATACATTGATATTGTCCACCTCAAGGCTTCCTGACAACACTCGACGCTTGCCAATTGTTCCGGCTCGTAAAAATCCTTATTTGTCCGCAAATTGCATCTTAGGAGCAAGGACGCTACTAGGGGCGCCTGGCATCGCTACTAAGATTGAAAGATGCAAGTGAGCATAGTAAATTAATGTCATGAACCCAGTGAGCCCAAACAAGTCACTTGGACAAGTGATTTAACAAAACATATTTGGCAGGTGGGTTGTTTTGTACAATTTCGACCTTCATCATCATAGTTCGAATTGTTCAATTGTATTTTTTTTATTTCCATTTATTTACCATTTCCTATTATATATATATACACGGAAGCTTTTCCATGTTACGTCGGAGCAAGCATTTTTTGGCCGAGATGTGCAAGCTCCTTTCTGCCTCCACAAACCTAGTTTTGTCTCATGGCTTTAGGACACGTCTGGCTTGTTATGCACCATGCTCCGTGTGTGGAACCCGCACAGTGAAGATCATTAAAAGAAAGAACACACATATTTCATTCCAAGAAGATCTTTAAAAAACACATATCGAAAAGGAACAGGATCAAACAAACATTCCCAGTGCACTTTCGTGGCAGGCAACCTTCATGTGCAGATTTCATGGTAGGCGCAGGACTTGGAGGACCTCGAAGTGCAGATTTTGTGGCATGCGCAGTGCTAGGCGGACCTCGATTTCGCAGCGCTTGGTGGACTTCGAGATGCAGATTTTGTGCCAGGCGGCGCTAGGCGGACCTGAGGGTGGTGGCAAGCGCAGCGCTTTGTTGGCCTAGATGTGCAGATTATTTCGTGGGAGGCGCAGTGCTTTCTGAATCTCAAACTGCCATTCCGTGTCAAGCTAAATGTTTGGCATGGTGCATGTGCGCTCTCATGTGTATGCTCTCACAGATGTGCTGACGATGACAGGAGCAGGCAAGCAAAGAAGCTAGAAAACATAAGGGGTATTATTGAATGAGTTTTGAAAGGATGTTATTGCGATCACAATGGGCACGCCAGGGCCTTAACAGCAGCGCCAGATCACAGTGGGCACTACCGGACCTTGACAGCTGGGCACCACCGGACCTTAACAGCAAGCACCACATCGCAGTGGGTACTACCAGACCTCAGCAAGCGCCAGATTGCAGCGTGCACTACCAGACCTCAACAGCAAACGCCAGATCAGTGAGCGGGCATACGATGGGTTGACCTTTAAAGAATCTGTTTTGTTGGAAGCACGATGCTGTGCATGAAGTACATCATGCAGATCTCGTGGCACTGGAGGGTGGTGGAGGCTTCCCCCATGAACAAACAAGCCAAAGACATGCTATATTCCGCTGGGTGAAAATGGCAGGTTGACCTCCAAAGATTCGTTTTTAGTCTTAGTGTTTTTAGAAGAAGCGGCGCAGATTTCCTAGGTGGGTGTGAGTGAGAGTGAGTGTGAGCAAGAGTGGGAGAGTGAGTGAGTGTGAGTGTGTGCGAGTGTGAGTGATGTGAGTGTGAATGAG